GAGGCTGCTCTGCACAGGCATCCTCAGAGACAGTTACACGGAGCCCAGAACAATGGCAAAGGTAGGGGAGGGCCCTGCAGGCCCTGGGACCAGCAGAGCAAAGGCCGGGGAAGGAAGAGGCTTGGCATCTCATAGAGAGCAGCACAGTGAAGGGCCCAGTGTGGCTGGAGCAGGGTGGGGGCGGGGAGGGCAGAGATTTTATAGGTCATTTCATAGAGGAGTGGGCCTGCTGTCTAGCTGGGAGCTGCTGCTGCTGTCCTTTGGTTCTTTGCTGACTTTGATCACACAATGGGATCCAGCCACCACGCCGGCTCATCCGCCTGAGTGCCCACAAAGCCCCTTAGCTCCTCTGATTTTCAGAATTGCACTAACAATTGTGAATGGGGGAAAAGGGATTCTGGAAAGTTACCTCACAGGGTGTTTTGATCATAAATTCCTACCTGGGCCATCAGGGTGGGAAGTCACTCACCAGGCATACCTTTGCCTTAGACAAGCCCTGTCCATTGTCTCTGGGCATTTAGGTTAACACACCTGTGGAACAATCCCTGCCCACTCCAGAGACCACATAATCTGTTCACTATCCTGTAACCCAGTCCCCGCCTTGCTTTTCCCACCTCCAGGTCATCTTTCTTTCCCCTCCTTCATTTCAAACGCATAAATGAAGCTTATTCTCCTGAGCTTTTGAGATCTTGCCATCCCCTCCATATGTTGTCAGTTTGGCTCAAATAAACTCATAAAAATTCTCTACATATTTGGACGTTTCTTATGTAGACACTATGACAGGGAAATAGGTGGTGTCTGTTTATCCTTCTATTCATTAAAATCCCATTATCAAATTGTAAAACGTTTGAGATGATAAACTTTGCAAAGTTGCTATCAGTGTCTGAAGTGAAATAAACTGAAGGAAACGAGAAAACAGTGAAACCTACAGGGAATGTTACCCATAATCTCTTCCCAGACTCCGAGCCACCTGAGCTCACAGTACTTTCCTTTAAGATGATCCAGCTTCACAGACAGAGAATGTGGTGTAGACAGAACAACGCCACCGGTCTACAATATGCCGTCTCCATGTTGCAGGGCCTTCGGAATGCGTGCTCAGTGACACCCCGCTGAGAACATTCCCACTCCTGCAGGAAAGCCTCCCACAGAAAAACAGTGACCTTCCTGAAGGTGCGGGTGTGGGCTGAACGGACACTCCTCCAGGACTAACGCCCAGGCATTTCCACACGAAGCAGATGCTCTCCATCTGAGAATGCACCACTGACCCAGAATTAGTTCTGAGAGACCTGGGACCTCCCGACAAGGATGAGGCAGCAGGTCGACAGGGACCAGGAGAGGACGACCCCAAAGGAGTCAGTGTAGGAGGCTGACCGCTGTCCCCAATCAGAGCCACAAACAGAGGTCAAGGCCATGACCTGCTGTCTCTCTTGGGTGGGATCCTGTCACCTCCCCCTGCTCTGCTCTTAGAACAGTTCGTTTTCAGAGCTGAAGACGCACATGATAACGTCTCCGTTCGCCACCCCATCCTTCTAACACAGGCCAGGCCTGACTGAGAGCTGTCCTTTCAAAGCCCTCATGACAAATGTGCGCTTGGAAAAAGGACAGCAGAGACGTCGGGTCTAAGGACAGCGTCGTCACTGCCCACGCACACACACACATGTTCAGATTCTAAGACCGGCTAGACAGCCAGTCATATTTGACGGATGGAAGCCACAGCTTTAGAGAAAAGGGAACGAGGCAACCTGAGGGGCGGATGCCTCGTCTGTATGTTCTAGGTGGTTAGGTTGGTTTTTCAGTTAGTTTTTCTCCGACCGATTCAGTCATTTTGAAACATAACCCTTGGGCCACAGGAAGCAAAAGAAAGGATGGAGAATCCGGCTGGGATTGCGCTCCTTCCCCTGGGATTTCATTCCTGGGATGAGAAGGCACGGACAGAAGGGATAAGATAACAGCAGTCACCGTCTCTGAGGTTTGATAGCAGTTTTCTCTCTTAGCTAGGGACTAGGAAGTAAATGACTTCGGTCCCCAGAGTCCCCTGTGGGCGAGGCTACATAGCTGTTTATTTTGGAAATACTAGAACAGTAACTGCTTTTGCCAGGAACATTCCTTGGAAGATTAGCGAGGACTGGAGAATGCTAAACAGTAAATAAAACATTTCTTTATAAAGCATTTAATTATTTATATAGGGCTAACTCACTGCTCCCTGGGGGGATAATAACGTGTGGAATGACCTAAGCTTCTTGTAAAAGAAAAGATAACGTAATTCAAGAGATATTATCGTATGCCAGTAAGTCTGTGTCGCTTCACATAGAGAAAGGACCCATGGGGGAGGGGGAGCTAAAGAGGTTGGTTATTCATTGATACAAACAGAAGTCCAACTAGAGGGAATGGCCTTACCAGAGATGGCCACTTTATAAATAAGTAGCTCTGAGAAATGAGGTGCTTAAGGCCCCAACGAGTTAGGAAGCTATTCCAGTCCTCCTGACTCTCGCCAATCCCAATGAAGGGTCCAACTTCACTAACATCTACATTCGATGGAAGATGTCTTTCCCCCAACAGCCCTTAGTGAATCTCAGATCAATTCTGAACTTTCTACACGAAGGGGAACAATCCTTTTCATGGCAACAATAATACACACAGCGCTCCTTTTAGTCCTACAACTGGAAAAACAATCTCTTCAAAAAGGTCTAATTATTTTTTAAAAAACAAGCCATCAAAATCTTACATGCTGGAAACTCATTAGATGAAAGATGGTAAAATGTATAAGTATTTTAAAAATGAACAATGACTAATTTCAAGGCAGTCAAATAGTTTGCACAACAGTATCCCCAGGATAGCGTACACCTGCAGGCTGCATCAGGCCTTGACTCAATGTGAAGACCCTCTGTGGCCCGGGGCAGCACCTGCCAGGTGTGAGCAGCACAGGTGGCTGTCAGCACAGCCCAGCCCAGATTAGTCTAGCCTTCGAGCATTCAGCAGGGCCTTTCCTCACAACGAATGTGTTTTGCAAACTGTTAGCTGTTGTTGTTCATTATTATACTCACTGTGATTTGAGTGCCTAGTATGGACATTACCTGCCTTAACATAATATCCTCAGAATATTTTAAAGTTAAATACTATTATCCCCATTTTACAGATGAGAAAACTGATCTGTAAGAAAGGGAAGTTCAAGGATCTCGCCCAGGTCTCTGGTGAATACCTGGTGGGAGCAGGCTGAGGGGGAGGTTAGAACAGCAGAACCACCTCTGCCACCTGGATATGCTTTATTTGGCACACACATTATTTTTAAATTTTAGAATTATTTTTTTCAAATGGGAAGATTTTAGATATAAATTCTCATTTCCTTTCTCTGGAAGACCTAGCAATGCTGACTGTAAATTCTTGTGTGCTGATAGCTGGAGTGCACAGCTGCTCCTCAGATGCTTGCCAAGGTCCTGGCTGGACCTGCTTCACGAGTTCACATTCCCTCCCCAGGCCCGAGGCCCTGGGATGTGTGCCCGTTTAATCCCCGATACGCCCTTGGACCAATCCTCTGTCCCTTCCATTCCTACCTGCCTCAGGGGGCAGGGCCCAGCTGGAGCTTCATAAATGAGCTATCCCAGAGAAGAATCCATTGCTTCTAATAGTTTTCTATTGATTAGGTTTGATGTTTTCAATCATATAATAATGCCGTTAACAGAGAACTGAAGATAGGTAGGTTCATCTGAAAAAATCATTACACTGAGAAAAAAGAAGCAATCACAGTGAACGGCCATTGAATTCCCACCACGACTTTAGTGGCCCGTCCCCTGCCAGCATCTGCACTCAAATATGGGTGTCCCCTTCCCTCCTGATACTGGATCCTATCTTCTCCCTCCTACACAAGTTGGTTCTTGCAATCTCACGTCTTTTTCATCAGGTTTTCCTCCACTGAGTTACAGTGGAACCTCGTTTCTCGAACTTAATTCATTCCAAGAGGCTGTTCGAGAAGCGGTTTGTTCGAAAACTGAATCATTTTTTCCCATTAGAAATAATATAAATTGAATCAATCCATTTCAGACCCCCAAATGATTCTGATTCAACCTTTCGTATATACCTGTCTAATGTACTGTTTAATATATAAATAAACACTTCTTTTCTTAAATTTATTGAACCACTCCCTACTAGCCTTGAAGGAATTTTTCAGATATCACTGCCTTGAGAATGCTATCACCAGTTAATTGCTTTTCCTTTATCCAATCAATAACAATTTTCCTACCTATTCAATTGTCTGTGATTGCGGACAATAACAGTATGAAAGTTGCCTGGGGAGAAATCTGAGTAAAAGTGTTTTAGGGTTCTCTTATATGGATCTGGAGAGAGATTAAGATATAAACTTAGAGTCGCCGAAACCGGTTTGGCTCAGTGGATAGAGCGTCGGCCTGTGGGCTGAAAGGTCCCAGGTTTGATTCCGGTCAAGGGCATGTACCTGGGTTGCGGGCACATCCCCAGTGGGAGATGTGCAGGAGGCAGCTGATCGATGTTTCTCTCTCTCTATCTCTCTCCCTTCCTCTCTGTAAAAAATCAATAAAATATATTTTTAAAAAAAGATATAAACTTAGAATTTATTAGATATGCGTGGTAAAAAGTATAGGGCAAAAAAGCAAAGGAAAGCTCTCAGATAGTTAAAACAAAGGTTAAAAGGAATAAAAATAATAGAGCAGAAAAAATAGAAAACAAAAAGTTGGTGATATAAGTTTAAACATATCAGTAATCACAATAAATATAAATGGACTAAACTATCCTTTAAAAATAATGGATTTTTCTGATTAAATAAAATATTTCAAACCAACAAAATATAGCTAAATGTTCTTTACAAGAAGCGAATCTACAACATAAGAACACAGAAAAGGTAAAATCAAAGGAAAGTTAAAATATAAACTAGGCAAATATTACCTACCAAAAGCTCTAGTAATATAAAACAAAAATCACTATAAAGGAATGTTAAGGTCACTATATGATAGTAAAAATGTTCAATTCACCTGGAATACATGACAAGCCTAAAGTTGTGGGTCCTAAATAAAAGTCTAGGTATATCTGAAAAGTAGAATGTAGGAGGAATAAAAGAAAAATGTGAAAATGTTATAGGATACCTTGATTTATGAACCACGTTTACATTTTTTTAAATTGTGTCTTTGCTAGATTTTGCTATTTCTTTCTTTTCCTACACTGCAACCTTCAGGTCTACAGATTTAAACAGTCCTTATAAAACCTATTTGAAAATCTATGCCAAAGTTTGTGTAATGCAGGTAGGTACATAAGTATGTATCACTCCCCACCTTTTCCTTCAGTGGTTCTCAACCTTCCTGATGCCGAGACCCTTTAATACAGTTCCTCATGTTGTGGTGACCCCCAACCATAAAATTATTTTCGTTGCTACTTCATAACTGTAATGTTGCTACTGTTATGAATCGTAATGTAAATATCTGATATGCTATATGTGTTTTCCGATGGTCGCGACCCACAGGTTGAGAACCGCTGCTTTATATGGATGGGCTCAGAAAAGGCATGCCAGCAACGCACAAGGATCCGGCGGTCCTTGCAGCATCGCCACACTAGGGGCTGGAGCCTCACCTGGATGTTCAGCTGCTTGTCGTGCAGGGCTCTCTGAAGCTCCAGGAGACTCCCCTTGAGGGTTCTCAGCTTCACCGCCAGCTGCTCAGCCTCGTCCTTCGTGTGGGCCTTGCCCTCCAGCAGCAGGTTGTCATTGTGGACAGAGAGCTCCGACAGGGCCACCACCTTCTGCTCGATTTCCACTAGCATGTTCTGGGAGCACAGAAATAAGGGTGAAACTCACACACCCTGTCGGCCTCTACAAAGACCATTTCCCGCAGCGAGACACAACACTTCCTTACATCTTTCATCCAAAGAATGTCTTCAGGGTTTTTTTTCCCTAGGTTCCCTACAGCCTTGAACAGTATATACAGATTTTTAAAAATACCTTGAGCTTCTAAGTTTTTCTCTTATTTAAAGATTAGATATTATATAATAAAAATATATGGAAAAAAAACACATGGGAAGCCCACTTTAGATAGGCAACAAGATGAGGAGAAAAAGACCATTTTTATAGACGGGACCCATGGAAGCAAAGTGCCCAGAGCCCCAAACGTCATAATGTGGCCCCAATTCTGTGTAATAGCCCCCATTGTAATTATACACCTGGCTCAAATACTAGATTTAAATTGACTAAGGAAGTGTTATATATTTGTGTGATTCCATATGCTTCTAGATTCTAAAAATATTGCCAAAAGATGATTTTAGTACTTTGTAAAAGGTCCTGAAATATATCATTGGAATTATGGACTTTATGTATAATGATAAAAATAGAGGTATCCGAAGGGAGTGGAGGGAGTAATGACAAACATATTTTGAAGTGCATGTGGCAATTTCAAATGCTAAAAGGAAATGCTAAAAATAGATGTCTCTTCAGAAAGAAACTTTAATAAAAAAAGATGGTCTAAAGAATAGAAAACACTGGCATGTAGCTCTCTATTGTTTAGCATCAAAGCAGAGAAGAACAATGCCTTCAATACACATAGGTAAACTGCCTAAGGAAATAAAAAATTCAAATTATAATAGTCAATACTACAATAAATATCAAATCATAAAAGGAATGGCCAAAATGGAATACTACCTATTTTTAAAAAAAGACAATGTTCATCAATGAACGGTTTGTACATAAGGATGTATCATTCCCCACCTTTTGTGTATTTCCTCTGATGTCAAACCGGATAAATATGAAGTCATGCTTACTGATACTTAACCCTGCAGATTAGGTAGGATTTTCTAGAAACTTGCTAGTTAGTTAAATGAAAGAGCTTTTAAAACATCCGTCACCCATGTGTGAAGTACAATATGTGGATAATCTTTGAAATTCAATGATTGGCACAGGGAGTTCATTATCTATTCTCCATACTTACGTGTGTGCTTGAAATTTTTCATGACATAGAGGTAAGACAATCTATAATAATAAAAGTGTAATATGCTAATTAGGCCCGACAGCTGAACGACCTCCAGATGTCATTCCCGGATGTCCTTCCAGATGACCTTCCAGATGAAGCCGAGGCTGCAAGGGCCGAGGCAAGCCACTGTGGCTGCGAGGGCCGAGCCCCTTGCACGAATTTTGTGCATCGGGCCTCTAGTAATAATATAATGAAAACCTTAATGTCATTGTATCTACCTTAATTCCTAGGGACCTCACATCAGAGAAAGGATATTCTCTGCTCCAAAGACACCTTCTTGTGTTCAGTCTGTCTGCCTCAAACTGACAGTTTGACCAAGTTTGTAAAAATTAAATATCAGAATTAGAACAAAAATTGCAACAGAGCACCTAGGGACACCTCCTGCTGTATTCATCCACAGTCTGATGCACTGACACCAATTCTTCTCACTGGCTCTGAATGTCTTATTAGCACCAAATACAGGCACTATAAGTGTTTTGGTATCTATGATCTTTTAACAATTTCCTTTAGGAAGTTGAAGATTTTCTAAAATTGGGAACTTACTGGTAAAATTTTTCAAAAGACTGAGTTGAAGTCTGAATTTCATTTAAGCTTTTATAAGGCATTGTTTGCCTACTCTCTAAATATGTGAAGTATATGGCTTGGAAAAAAATCGTATATCCCTATCAAGCCTTTTTACCATTATGTTTTCACATCTGAAAATTTGCTTCGTGATGTTGACATGTTCCTTCAAGGTCATTTCCGTACCTGGCAGTCCACCAGCTGGGCCTCCATGTCCATGGGCTCCTTGGAGGTGCCCAGCGCGACGTCCAGAGTGGCCTTAGTGCTTAAGAGCCAGTGGTCCAGCTTGTCGACTTCAGAGCGGTACCTCTGCAGGGCCTGTTCCTGCCTCTGTTCCTCCAGCTGATCATTTAACTTCTCCTAATGAGTTAAGCAGAAGGTCACATAGATCGCCCGAAGGTAAAATCATTAGGATTCAACACAAGAACAATGATCTCATCTCTGGCTGCTCACCAGAATCAACTATGAAACTTCAAAAGCAAGACAAAAACAAAACAAAACACACACACAAAAAACTATCCTTGGCCTCATACCAGAGCAATAAATCAGAATTTCTGGAGATGAGTCTCAAGATTCATGTTTTTAAAAATCTTTCCCTTTGATTCTAATGTGCACCTAGAGTTTAAGTATTCTTACATAATACAGGACCAGGTAGATAACGTGAATGATGAAAATTGATCAAGGATTAGAACAAAACAATGGCATAAGATGGTGGGTTGGAAATAGGTACATGACCCCAATGTGGGGAAACTGTAGGGAGTGGTGGGGACTGTGACAAACTGAAGAACATATGGTCCACCTAGAAAGAAAGCATCATGAATTTCAGGCAATTGATTCCCTGCAAGAAGAAGTGGCCCAGTGTTACTAGTTTCTTGAATGAAAGAAGAAATTCTTTTTGTTGTTGTTATTGTTAGATCTCTGTGTGGTTTTTTTCAATGATGGCAAATAATTCATATTAAAAAAAACACACCAAGCCAATCACTTAATTTTAATTTTGAAACTCCACAAATGTTTCATAGAATGATTGGGGATAATATTAATACATTAAAAAGTTAATTCTTAAAATAAGGTACTCTAAATACCTTATAAATAACTTATTATTTTTAAATTACATGGAAAAATAGTTTAACATAAACTTTAAATAAAGCAGACACATTGATTTTAAATTTATTCTGAACAAGAAATACATGAATATATTATCTGACTAATCTTATAACAGGTAAAACTAGAAGGAGCCTACACACCCAACAACAGGACCATGTTTAATTGAATTATAGTATAATCATCAGCCAAATAAAATAATATTAAGTTCATATAAGAAATGTATTGAGAACTGATTTTATCCCAGAGGTACAAGGAGCCAGATATTCTAAAGGATTTTGTGGAGTCTCAGGTCTAATGTCCTATATATTTAGGGCCAGAAATGATAAGAGAGAATAAAGCAAAAATAAACTTTCATGAATCAGGGTGCTTCAACTGGCTAACAATGACTAAAGATTTATTCTTCACAGCATTAGTAATAGTATTCATAATATGCTCTTATTT